AGCCACCAAGTCGTGGTGGACCACTTGCTTGTTGGTAAATATTCTTCTTTAAACAGCTGTGCGTGTCATCTTTTGTATTTAGCTCATGGTCATTCTAGGAAAGAATCCTACCTCAAGTCTTTGAGGGAACTGAAAGGAAGTTTTGTCCCGCAAGGAGAAGGGTGGTCGGGAAATGCATCCCTTCCAGGGAGGGAGAACTGCGGGGGGGGGGGGGGGGGGGGGAGGGGAGGTTGGCAGCCTTGGAAGGGCTCAAGGCAGCCTGAGGGTATTGGGAGTCTGGTCTGAGCTTTTGAGGGAATAGGAAGCCATATGGTAGGCAATGCTGGGGGGAGGGGAGCATAAACCTTTCTAGAACCATCTGTCTTGAGTCCTAATGGATTCCCTGGAAAGCCACTCCTAGCTTCCCCCCTTAGCCCCCCCCCCATCCCTGCTGCACACACACACACACACACACAACACACACACACACACACACACACACACACACACACACACCCCACTGGTAGCTTTTAATACCAAGTCTGGAAGGCCACTGGGCCTTTCCATGTTGCTCTGCCTCAGCCCTCCTTCAGAGGTGTCATCCTTCAGATGTCCTGGGTGGAGAGGGGATGGACTATCATCTTATCATCATCATCATCATCACTATGGAAACCAGATGGTTTGGAAACACAGTTTACCCGCTGCTGGAGTTGGTCGCAGGCAGTGAAGGGTGACGGTGAAGAGCGTGACTTCGGAGCATTGGGTGTCAGTTCAGAAACTAGATGTGCCTCATCCCACGAGTGATCTCTGAGACCACTTATTGGTGCAAAATGCTGATCCTAGCCATACCTGCTCTCACAGAGGTATTGTGAGCTTGAAAGAAATCAGCCAAGTGCCGTGGCTCATGCCTGTAATCCTAGCTACTCAGGAGGCTGAGATCTGAGGATTGCAGTTTGAAGCCAGCCTGGGCAGGAAGCCCATGAGGCTCTTATCTCCAATTAATTACAGAAAAAGCCAAAAGTGGAGCTGTGATTCAAGTGGAAGAGTGCTAGCCTTGAGCAAAAGGAACTCAAGGATAATGTCCAGAGTTCAAGCCCCAGTACTGGCAAAGAAATAAAGGGAGAGGGGGGAGTGGGAAGGAAGGGAGAAAGGGAGAAAGGGAGGGAAGGAGGGAGGGAGGGAGGAAGGGCTGGGAATGTGGCTTAGTAATAGAGTGCTTGCCTGGGTTCGATTCTTTCAGTACTGCATAAACAGTAAAAGCCAAAATGAAGAAGCACTGTGGCTCAAGTGGTAGAGTGTTAGCCTTGAGCAAAAGAAGCTCAGGGACAGTGTCCAGACCCTGAGTTCAAGCCCCAGGACTGGCAAAAAAAAAAAAAAGGAAGGAAGGAGGAAAGTGAAGGGAAGGGGACGGGAAGAAGAGGGGATGGGAGGGAAGAAGGAAGGAAAGAGGGAAAAGAAGAGAAAAAGAAATAATAGTCAGAAGGCATTGAACTCATGTCTGGCATTAATCTTTCCCTAACTACCTACCAACTGCCCTGGAAAGTACAGTTTCTGTTCTCACAGAACTATGGTGCCCCCTTGTGGTGTACATTGGTAAGAACATTATGGTCAATCAATCTAATGACTTCTGTAACTTGTTTAAAAGCTCTGGCCAGGTGTTGGTGTCTTCTTATACCTGTAATCCTAGCTACTCCGGAGGCTGAGATCTGAGGGTCGTGGCTCAAGGCCAGGCCAGGCAGGAAAGTCCATGAGACTCTTATCTCCACCAAACTACTTAGAAAAGAAAGCCGTAAGTAGCACTGTGGCTCAAGTGATAGGATACTAGTCTTGAGCAAAAAGCAGCTCAGGGACAGTGCTCAACCCCTGGGTTAAAGCCCCAGGATGGGCACCAAAGAAAAAGAGGAGGAGGAAGAAGGGGAGGAGGAGGAGGAGAAGGAGGAGGAGGAGGATGAGGAAGAAGAGGAGGAGGAAGAGGAAGAGGAGGAGGAGGAAGAGGAAAGTTCTATAGTGTATGGCGGGGATGTAAATCTAATACAACATATTTGAAAAACATGTAGAAAAATATGTTCTGGAAATACCATTCGGGAGTAGCGGACTCCCATGGAAGAGATATCTTTCTAGTCCACCATTGTTGCCCAAATACTTGGAGACCTTCCCAGCCTCGCAGGTGGGTGGGCAGGAGGCTAGGTCTTGCTGGCTTTTGAGTGGGAAGAGAGGGCACATAAGGATTGAAAATGTCTCTCCTCTATTTCCGACTGTCTACCCACTCTCAGGTCCTGCTCTATTACTTCTGCCAGAGACCCCCCTCCCCCCTCCCCCCTCCCCCTCCCCCCTCCCCCTCCCCCCACTGTGCTGTTCTTACTTCCCCTTCTGGCTTCCGCACAGCGCTCTCACCCCACTCAACACCCCGTTTTCTCTTCCCCTCTATGCTAGCCTCCCCCTCTGCCTGCTGCTCCCTAATGACCACCGCGTCTAACACTGCAAATCCTGTCACATAGTGCCTGTTGCTGTTTCTTTCTGCTCCACAGCACTTAGCTAATGCACTCCATCTGTTGCTTAGCTGAGTATTGTCCTGCCCCCTTTGAATGGCATGCTTAGGACCCGGATGTTGGTCTTTCTTCACTGTTACATAGTCAGCACTCTGAACAGCTCATCCTAGGTGCTCCTAGTTGGTTCACTGAATGAAAGGGTGAATGGAAGGAAGGAGGAATGTGAGCTGCAGAACACAAGCTAGGCCACCAGCGTACCAGACTCCAGAAGGAAACAAGAGCTTGTAACCTTTCAGGGAGGAAAAACATTTCCTAAAGCAAGACCTAGTGTCATGGATGATTGACCCGGGCAGCCCCACAGTACAAGGATCTGGCATTCAGAAAAGCCCCTGAATTCAAGTCCCAGGACTGGCAAAAAGGAAGAAGAACGAGCAGGAGGAGGAAGAGGAGGCCTGTTTCTTGGGTCTAATGTCTATTTTTGCATTCTTGAATTTCTTGAGAATTATGTCTTTCCGTTTGAGTTCTATAAGAAAATATGATGGACAATAGAGCAGGGGGGTAGGGGGTGGGGGGGGGGGGTACGTCAGATCCTCAACACAGGGGCCCACTCCCTACCCCAGAATGCTACACACAGCTCTCCTCTGCCTCCTGGAGCACTGTGCCCCATCCAGTGCCCCCTTTTCATCCCCTGGCCTTGATTCTCAGCAGGGGTCCAGGCACAGCTAAGCAGGGCTGGGGCTGGGATCTGGGACCCAGAGCATCTCAGGGCAGGGCAGGGAAGCGACATCCTCTCCCCCTCAACCAGCGTGGCATTCTTAGCGAGGCTCATCCAGGCACCCGGTTGGATACAAAGAAAGCCACTGCTGGGAGGTTAAAGGTCCTTGGGCGGGATCTATCTGCCAAGGGTTGAGGCAGAGGAAGGCTGTGGGAAAGGAAAATGGTGGCTAGACTTCTCCAGAACATCCAGTGGAGCTGGAGAAGGAATGAGAGGGAATTGGGCAAGGCACCCAGCCAGGCATGTGAGGAGGGCACATCTTTATCTCTCCTGGCTGGCTCAAGACAACTTCCAGGCATGGGAATCCATGCCAGCATGTAAACCTAGTGATACAGAAGCCAAATGCACTTTGAAAATGGGCATTGTACAGATGGGAGGTAGATAGTATCATTTGGGCTCATTTTTTCTTCTTTAAGCGTACTGAGCAATGCCAGGTGCCGGTGGCACCTGAGGATCACGGTTCCATGAGACTCAATTAACCACTAGAAAACCAGAAGTGGCACTGTGGCTCAAGTGGTAGAGTCTCCTTGAGCTGAAGAGCTCAGGGACAGTAACCAGGTCCAGAGTTCAAGCCCCATGACCGACAAAGAGAGAGAGGGGGGGGGGAGAGGGAGAGAGAGAGAACTGAGCAAGTAACACACGAAGCAGCGGCAGGGGTGGCTAAGGAGAAAAAAAAACCTTGTATGTCCCGTGTGTCCCATTGATAGGGTTTGTTTCCCACTGTGTGTGGACTCCACGTTTGTTTCAGATCAGGCCCTGCAAATGACATAGCTGGTCAGGAGTTACACTCAATATTTACATCAAAAATGTTTCTTTTAGATTAATCCCTGGATGTAGTAGTCACAATGAGCAGTTTGGGATGGTGTCTGGCTAACTACTGTCATTTTTCAGTGCTGGGGCTACATTGCCCACTGTGTAATAAATCTGCATATTTGAAGCAGGCTTTTTTTCCCTTCATTTATTACTAAGCATTGATAACCTGCTCTTTTTTACTATTATGCTAAAAGGATTAGCACCACCAGGAAAATGTCACTCACAAGATATGATGGTATAGCAAAGACTGCTAACTCCTATCAAAGGTCAGACATATTAAAATAGATCCATCAAAATTCAAAGTTCTGCCAGGCAATGGTGGCCCATGTCTATAAACCTAGCCACTCAGGAGGCTGAGATCTGAGGATTGTGGTTTGAAGCCAGCCCAGGCAGGAAAATATGTTAGACTCTTATCTCTAAAAGTAAGCACTAAACAAACTAGAAGCGAAGCTGTGGTTCAAGTGATGAGTGCAAGCCTTGAGCAAAAAAGCTGAGAGACAGCACCCAGGCCCTAAGTTGAAGTCCCAGGACTGGTACCAAAACATAAACATTTTTTAAAAAAATCAAGTTTCCTTTAAGGGTAGGAAGTGTAGGCTAGCAAGTTTCAGCACAAGCTAAGTTCTTCCACAGTGCATTGTTGATAGTATGTTGTTAGGAGTTGTCTTGGGCATCACAGAATACGGGGCAGCATCAGTGGCCTCTACCCACTGGGTACCAATAGCACCCTCCTCAGTTATGACTTTCAAAAGTCCCAGTGTCTCCTGGGGAGCCAGGACAGCTTAGGATCATGAGCCTGCAGGGGTTCACAGGTTAAAGAGATGAATGGGAAGATGCCATCATAGCCAAACAGTATCCATCCACATTCTTTTCCTGGTTAAACACCTTTCACCTCAAATCCACATCCTTCTGATGAAGAGATCAACAAACATGAGAGGCAAGAGATGTAGGAAAACTAAAGAATTTTTTTATTTGTTGGGAAAGAGGTTAATGACAGCAAGTTCATATACTATTAAATAGAATTAAAAAGGAAGAATATGGACATCACAGTAATAAAATTTCAGAAAGGCAACAGATATGTCCTACAATGGAATATGTATACACAAGATGTCTTGGTACTAGTGACCATTTTATATCCAGTGAAGGTTTTCTATGTTCAAGCACATTTGAAATCAGACATGCAATTGACAACTGGACACAATAATTGACAGCCTCCCACTCAGTCATTTCAAACATCTAAGCGAGTGCTGTGCATGGGTGTTTTCTTCTTCAAACATTATTTACCTCTTAGATCTAGAATGTATGTCATTCCTAGTAGTAATCACAGATTAAAAGCCCAACCACCCAAGACAATATCACTCTGAGAGAGAGAGAGAGAGAGAGAGAGAGAGAAATTAATGATGTGAACATCTTGTACAGCTGTCGCTGAAAAGAACAAAAGCCATTCCAAAATGTCACTGGCTAGGTAAAAGGGGTGTGGCTCACAGAATATAAAGCTAGAGCAGTTAAATATGAATCTTTATAAAGGGTTGGCGATAGTAAGCCCATACCGGGCTCCGGGCTCGGTGCCGGGCTAGCGCATGCCCAGGATCTGTCTGCTTTTCAGTTGGTAGGTTTTCTCAATATCTGACAGGGCTTGGGCCCGCAGCTGGGCAGCATGGAGCCGCTTCTTCAGGTCCCTGCACTTGGACTTGGAGGTGAGCTGACTCTCCGACGCCTCGCTCCTCATGTTCTCCTTACTTTCCCCACCGAAATGAACCTTCTTCTTCATTACTGAGGATGGAAGATCAAGCAGCTCTTTAGAAAGAAAATGGGGTTTGGATTACTTGAAGAGGCAGTCAAAGCCTATATACTTAACAAAAACTATGTATTCTTTTTTCTCAGTTGAAATCTGAGGACCTGATTTGCTCTAGGGTAGGTGGTTAAGGGGCATGGTGGGACTGATAGAAATCACTTCATATTTCTCCTTTTTTTTTTTTTTGTCGGTTGTGGGGCTTGAACTCTGGGGCCTGGGTGCTGTCCCTCAGCTCATCAGCTCAAGGCTAGTGCTCTAACACTTGAGCCACAGCGCCACTTCCATTTTTCTGGTGATTTATTGGAGGAAAGTCTCAGGGACTTTCCTGCTTGGGGTGGCTTTGAATCCCGATTCTCAGATCTCAGCCTCCTGAGTAGCTAGAATTACAGGCATGAGCCACTGGTGCCTGGCTTCCCTTTTCTTTTTTTGACACAGGGTCTTGCTATTTTGTCCAGACTGGCATGGCACGCATGACCCTCCCACCTTAGCCTCACTGCAGAGAGGCTAGAATTACAGGCTTTATCACTACACAATGATACAATCTGCCTTTCAATTCAAACCACAGAGAAGATAATCCTGGAATGTACCAAACATCAAGGAATGTTTGTTCCTTGTTTTGCTCCCTTAACAATCCATTTTTCTGGGGCTGGGAAGGTGGCTCAGTGGTAGAGTGCTTGCCTTGCATGCATGAGGCCCTGGGTTCAATTCCTCAGCACCACATAAACAAAAAGAAAAAAGCCGGAAGTGGCACTGTGACTCAAGTGGTAGAGTGCTAGCCTTGAGCTGAAGAGCTGAGGGACAGCGCCCAGGCCCAAAGTTCAGGCCCCACGCCCAGACCACAAAAAATTAAAAAAATCAATTTTTCTCTGGGAGTTCAAATATATTGGGGGTGAGGGGCCACAATGCAATACTTTGGAAGTCAGTATAACTTGTCTCTGGTCTTGAAACCTAGTGTCTTTCTAAGTAGGACACACCGCTTCTGAGAGTAGGAGAAGCAGAAGCCCTTTCTCTTGGAGAAAACCTATGGTTTTGGACAAGTTCTCCATAATACTTAGTTCCAAGCATCTCAATTCACCAAAAACTTCTTTCAGAAAGAACCTTACAGCCAGGCACTGGTGGATGAGTGGCCCTCACCTGTAATCCTAGCTACTCAGGAGGCTGAGATCTGAGGATTGAGGTCCACAGCGAGCCTAGGCAGGAAAGTCCATGAGACTCTTATCTTCAACAAACCACCAAAAAACTGGAAGTGCGCTGTGGCTCAAGTGGGAGAGCACACACCTTGAGCTGATGTGCTGAGGGACAGCGTCCAGGCCCAGAGTTCAAGCCGCAGGACAAAAAGAAAAAAAAGAACCTTAACAAGTACTGAGTGAGCAAGACAGTCACAGAGGCAGTCACGTAACAGTGCAGGGCAAAAGGCGTGGAAGACAACTCTATTTATCCAGTCCAGAGCGACAATGCCATCACTCACCGGCCAACTTGGTTTGGAGACTTATAGATGATTCTAGAATCTTTTGTGTTTCTTCTTCTATGCTCACTTAAAGAAAATATGTTAAATATTTGCTGAGCTCCTACTTGGGGTGTTGGTGAAAACTAGGCTCCCATCTAGTAGGTGACAGACAGACCGTAAACAAATAGACAATACAGAATTGGGTTGTCTGATAGTGACCTGGGAAACCATGACAGCAGAAGGCCTGCTGAGTCACCAGGGTGAAGAGAGGAGAGAGATGAATCCTGAGCAATGAGCCAACGAACAGGAAGGAGGAAGCCAGGGGACAGTGCAGATGGATGGAGGGGGGGCACCACACTGCCCCCTGCTGGCCAGCAGTCCTCACTCCTCCTTCCAACACTGAGACTGCTCCAAAGCAAACAGACCACTGTTGGACCTTAACTCCACTGTCTCAGAGATTCCTGCCTTTCACTGCTTACAAATACCTTTACATGGTTAAACTAACATTATCTGTGTGTGTAACCATCTTGGGGCTTGAACTCAGGGCCTGGGTTCTGTCCCTGAGCTATTTTGCACAGCTAGTACTCTACCACTGGAGCCACAGCTCCACTTCTGGCTTCTTTGCTGGTTCATTGTAGATAGGAGTATCATCAACTTTCTAGTCAGGGCTGGCTTTCAATCACAATCCTCAGATCTCCTCCTGAGAAGCTAGGATTACAAGCGTGAGCCACCAGTGCTTGGCTTTAAACCAACTTTATCTTACTAATGGGATGGTGTACAAGAAAGAAAACGGTTTCAAAAAAGAATGGTCATTCATCAATAAAAGAAAATGAGTGTTGGCTAAATAAAAGCCAGCTTTAGAAAAGATGTGGCTGAAGTTAGAGCCCACCTGAGCCATGAAACGGAGGAGGCTGTTTCCAACTTCCTGACTTCACACGGGCTCACTCCCCACTACTCTTGGGGATCTGACAGGCTTAGTACTTGTAATACCCAGTGCTCTAAAGTATCTCTGAGTCCTGAGGTACTGGATTCCCACAGCTCAAATATTTGCCAAGATTCATTCCCCCTCAGGTAAATTCCTAGACTTTTCTGTCTTCCATACAGTGAAAGACATCATCTATAGCTATTTTCATCTTTTGCTCAAAGATTACCAGAGCAAGATATAAATAAACTGAAACTAGAAGAGTGATCCCCAAAGGAGTCTTCAAAAATCCTCTGGATATATAAAACAAGACAAATAAAACTTTTCTCCTTGAATCATCACCTACGCATGTCTTAAGTATACTGTTTACAGATAGCAGTGTGAAGTCTAAAAGAAGCAGAACTGAAGGGCTGAACAGTGGGAGGTACACACCTATAAACCTATCTTCTTGGAAGACAGAAATAGGAGGATCATGGTTCAAAGGCCAGCCCAGGAAAAAGTTAGTGAAAACCTATCTCAGAAATAAGTCAGGTGTGGCTACCTACTTATAATCTCAGCTAATCAAGAGGCAGCGAGCGACAGGAAGGGTTCATTTTCAGCCAGCCAGGGCAAAGTCTGCATCTGACACATAAACTGAAAGCAAAGGAGTGGGATATGGCTTAAGTGGTAGAATGCTTGCAAGCTCTGAGTTCAAGTCTCAGTACTGAAAAATCACTGGAATGACAAATTTAGGAAAAGAGATACTTTAACAGATGCAGCTCAAGTTCCGTGTAATCTGTTTCATCATTATAGCCAACATTAGTGTCATTGTTCCTTTCTAGTATTGTGCACTACAGTTATTGCAATCATCCCATTAACAAAATTTTCTTTGTCCCACTTACAAAAGGCTACCACACGTACCAAATCCAGACTCTCTCTCTCTCAAGGGTTTATTAAGGATGGAAAATGGTGCCTTCACACATGCTCTTCTCCATGAAATAAAGGGACCATAAGAAGTTCCATTACAACCTCTCAGATGCTTAATTTTGTAAAAATCAACCAAAGACTTTGAACAAATAATCTGTGTCTGTCATAAAGAAATCAAGAGAAAAGCTGTTTCTGCACTTTGCATTTTCCCAAATCCTAATGAGATGAAATTCTCACCGATTTTTCTGTGAAACAGAGAAGGCTCCCCTGGTACAGACATCATCACGTGGGAAAGGATGGTGTCAACAGAAGGCAGTACCCTGAGTGAACCGACTGCCTAGTAAGATGAGTCTGCCTACTAAGATGAGAGGTGAGAACAGGAGATGCAGAGATGTGTGTTTTGATGAGGCCTGGGTTTTGGTAAGTTAATCAACTTACCCATCAGCTCCAGAGTGGCTTAGCAAAGACCGGAACACACGCTTCTGCAGTTGCCTTATCACACAGCCACACTTGGAAGCATAAGGTGTCACATTGTTAAAATGCTAGGACTTATGCTTGAAAATGTACAGAAGAAAACACAAGGTTTTTTTGTTTTATTTAGGTTGGTCAGGGGGCTTGAACTCAGGACCTGGGCACTGTCCCTGAGCTCTTTTTGCTCAAGGCTAGCATTCTACCACTTGGAGCCACAGCACCACTTCATTTCCTGGTGGTTAACTAGAGATAAGTCTCACAGACTTTCCTGCCCAGGCTTGCTTCAAACCATGATCCTCAGCAGATCTTAGCCTCCAGAGGAGCTAGGGTTATAGGCTTGGGCCACCAGTGCCCAGCTGAAAATAGTTTTGATCAAATCCATACTAGTTTTGAAAATGGTAGAGCGCTTGCCTTGCATGCCTGAGGCCCTGGGTTCGATTCCTCAGCACCACATAAGCAAAAAGAAAAAAGCCGAAAGTGGCGCTGTGGCTCAAGTGGTAGAACTCTAGCCTTGAGCTGAAGAGCTGAAGAGCTGAGGGACAGCACCCAGGCCCAGAGTTCAAGCCCCACGACCAGACCCCCCCCCCCCAAAAAAAAGCTTTCATTAAAAAAAAAAATCTCAGCTATCAAATTAATAGCCTGATAAGGTATATAAGAGATAAAATGATCTGACTCACTGCCGCACTTACGAGATTCTCATAAGTCAGCCAGTAGGGTAATAGAATCTTATTTCTACTCAATTTCATTGATTCAGTGAAATTCACCTTAAGTTCTGACTTTATAAAATATAAGACAAAGCTACCCAGAGACCACCACCAGTGGCTAGCTCTCCGTGCAGAGCCGGCATACCTGGCCTGCTCGCCAGAGACGGGAACTTCTGCTCCTTCAGCCAGCTGTAGTTCTTCACCAGGCTTTCTGCTCGGGCCAGTTTGTCTTCAGCTAGTCTCTCTCGGATGCAAAGTTCATGTTCCTTCTCTTCAAAAAGGGAACGGAAAAAGAAAGCAAAATTAACAAGGGGCTTTGGCCGTAGAACGATTTACATTACAACTAATCTTATCACTCAGACCAATGTGGCTGACCACAGGTGAGTCATGCTGTGTGAACGATTTCTTTTGGACATCCTGGGCAGCCTGAGGTAGTTTTTAATTTAGTGGTTGGTTTAGTATGTCTTATGTTATCTTATGTTTTCTTGGAAGGCCGTGTTGAAGCAAACTGTTAGCTTTCACTTGGTCATGTTGTGTGAGACGAATGCACGTGTAATAAAAAGTTCAAGCCATCTCTATTCTCCACAGAAAACAGGCAACAGTTAATTTTCAGGGGATCTCCTTCTGGATCAACAGCAGCACCCAAACAGAAGGAGAAAAAAAAAAAAAGCCTACAAACCAGTATGGAGCAGTTCTTCAGATTAGTAACAAAGGCTGCTATTTATTCGTGGCCTAGAATTCAGAGTAGTTAAATTTCAGTTGCTGAATAAAATTACGAAAGACTGGCAAAGTTTTGAGTGTATGTGTGTATGTATGTGTCCTTTTGACACAAAAGTTTAAAAAAGGTTTCTAGGTGAGCACAGGTGGTATGCCTAGGGAGCAGGCGCCTCAGCACTATACAATGATTCATAAAATATTAATGACAGGGCTGGGAAGGTGGCTCAGTGGTAGAGCGCTTGTCTTGCATGCATGAGGCCCTGGGTTCGATCCTCAGCACCACATAAGCAAAAAGAAAAAAGCCAAAAGTGGCGCTGTGGCTCAAGTGGTAGAGCGCTAGCCTTAGGCTGAAGAGCTTAGGGACAGCACCCAGGCCCAGAGTTCAGGCCCCACGACCGGACCCAAAAAAAAAGATATAAAAAATAAAATATTAATGAACACACTGGATGTTTTATACATTTCTTATACATTTAAACAGAAAAATATTTAGCAATGGGTATAAGGCTGTGAATATGGGTGATGTCGGCGGTAAGGTTGCCTGGCCTGTCTGTCTCTGAAGGACCTCTCTGCCATGGCTGTTTGTAATCCTAAAACCTTGGTAGTGGAGAATACTGACTTTCAACATCAAAAGCTAATTTGGAAGCCAGGCTGAGATCTGAGGATTATGGCTCAAAACTAGCCCTGGAAGCAAAGGCCATGAGACTCTTACCTTCAATTAGCCACCAGAAAATGGGAAGTAGACCAGTGGGTCAGAGTGATAGAGAACTAGCCTTAAGCAAAAAAGTTCAGGAAAAGTGCCCAGGTTCTGAGATCAAGCCTCATGACTGACAAATCTAAATAGACCAGGTGCTAGTGACTCACATCTCAAATCCTAGCCACTCTGGAGGCTGAGATCTGAGGATCACGGTATGAAGCCAGCTGGGGCTTATCCTCCAATTAACCAGCAAAAAGCCAGATCTGAAGGCAGTTTTTTTTTTTTGGGGGGGGGTCCGGTCTTGGGGCCTGAACTCTGGGCCTGGGCACTGTCCCTCAGCTCTTCAGCTCAAGGCTAGCGCTCTAGCACTTGAGCTACAGCACCACTTCCGGCTTTTTTCTTTTTGCTTATGTGGTGCTGAAGAATCGAACCCAGGGCCTCATGCATGCAAGGCAAGCGCTCTACCACTGAGCCACCTTCCCAGCCCCCTAAAGGCAGTCTTGAATGGAAAAAAATCGAGTAAGAGTATGAGGCTCTGAGTTTAGGCCCAAGTACCGGCCAAAACAAAAAACTAAAAAACTAAATTACTTTCAAGTCAGTTACTACTCATCAAGTTCATGTTAATACCTGTATTACCTATTAACGGAGACCATCTTGCACCTATTTTCTCCATGGAATTACATGCACACGTGCAGTCCTACATCCTGTGTATGTGTTAAACCTGGAGCCTCCCTCATCAGAAGGTAGAAGACATGGTTTTTATGCTGGAGGGCAACATTTAAAAACCTTCCTTTACAGTGGAAAAGCTTTAGATTAATGATACTAAAAATAAGAGGGGGGGTCAGGCCTGGGAAGGTGTCTCAGTGGTAGAGTGCTTGCCTAGCCTGCATGAAGCCCTGGGTTCTATTCCTCAGTACCACATAAACAGAAAAAGCCAGCAGTGGTGCCATGGCTCAAGTGGTAGAGAGCTAGCCTTGAGCACAAGAAGCTCAGGGACAGTGCCCAGGCCCTGAGTTCAAGCCCAGGACTGGCAAAAAAAAGACTGAAAGAGGGAAGTGGCATTGTGGCTCAAGTGGTAGTGCTAGCCTTGAGTAAAAGGACCTTGGGGGCAGTACCCATGCCCAGGGTTCAAGCCTGAGGACTGGCAAAAAAAAACAAAATTAAAATTAAGAAAGAAAGAAGTAAAGACAATAAAGCACAATGCCTCTTGTCTGAGAGCCAGCACAATGGATGTCCAACAACGTATAAGGACTAGCAACTGAGTCTAGAGACAAAAGTCCAGCAGAAGGTGACAGCAACAGGGTGCTGGTGGCTCATGCCTGTCATCCTAGCTACTCAGGAGGCAAGATCTGAGGATAGAGCTTCAAAACCAGCCCAGGCAGAAAAGTCCCCATGAGACTCCAATTAACTATGCAAAAACTGGAAGTGGCGCTGTAGCTTAAAGTGGTAGAGTGCTAGCTTGAGCAAAAGAGCTCAGGGACAGCGCCCAGGGCCTGAGTTCAAGCCCTACCACAGTGTTAGCAGGCTTACTATGGAGTCTAGAGTAGATGTTTTGACTTTCAAGTACAGAACTCAGATGTAGATATACACTATGCTGTTGGAAAAGATTCGTGCACATCAGAACAACCCGACACAGACTTACGCTCCAGCCTTTCCTCACGGGCTTTGAGGGCTCGCTCTCGCTCCTGTAACTGCATTTCCTTTAGCTTCAATTCACTCAATACCGGGCTGGAATCCTGCAACTTTTCAGGCTCTCCTAATCGTCGCCCTCTCCTCTCAAGATTTTTTCTTTGCTCTTCTGCAACCAAGTCCACTATCAAAGGGTTCTCAAGAATGTCTTCCACAGAAGGTCGATGGTAATCCTGAGGGAGAATACTCAGAGTGACTGTCCCATTGTGTAACAGAATCTCCCCCCTATGAGAGCAGTTACATTAGAAGGGCCAATATACGGCATGGCAAAAGAAAGGACTTCTTTAGGGACAGATACTTAAACAAACATCTGAAAAAGTAAGTTCACTAGCCATGAGGGTTGGGGTCCACTAGGTGATACAGTTTCTTTTTTCTTTTGTATGTTGGGGCTCAAACTCAGGGCCTGGGCACTGTTCCCCAGCTTTTGCATACAAGATAGGCGGTTTACTATGTGAACCATAGCTCCTCTTCTGGTTTTGTTGTTTTGTTTTTGTTTTCTTGTGTGTGTACTTAATTGAAGATGAAAGTTTTATAGACTTCACTGTCTGGGCTGGTTTCAAACTGTGATCCTCAGATCTCAGCTTCCTGAGTAGCTAGGATTACAGTCATGAGCCTCTTACCCAGCTGATGCAGATTCCAACTTAACTTTTCTCTCATCACACCTTTCTAAGGAGACTTACATTCCAGAAGTATTCTGGCAATTTTACGTTGGTGCCTAGAAGCAGTGCTATGGTCTGCTTTAGGGAAGCATTGCCCTGACATCTGAATCTATTAATCTCCTCTACGCTCCTGCAGCATTCCCAGCCATCCTTACATGAGCCTGTCCCCAAGACATCTTCCTTCTCTCCACTCCCCCACCTTCCATCTCTCTTCAACTTATTTCCCTCTACCTGTCCCTTGGCCCTCTTTTCTCCTTCTGATCTTTTTTTTTCTTTTTTTGGTCAGTTGTGGGGCTTGAACTCTGGCCCTGGGCACTATCCCTCAGCTCTTCAGCTCAAGGCTACTGCTCTACAACTTAAGCCACAGCGCCACTTTCCGTTTTCTGGTGATTAATTGGAGATTAGAATCTCATGGACATTCCTGCCCTGACTGGCTTTGAACTGTGATCCTCAGATCTCAGCCTCCTGAGTAGCTAGGATTACAGGTATGAGCCACCAGCACCCAGCTTCTCCCTCTGATCTTTACAATTTCTCAATAAAATTAGAGGCAAAATAATAAAGTCAGTTTTCTGCCACTTCTCTATTATCTGTCACTATGAAGTAGGCAACAAAAGGGGAAGTGAGCATATGGAAACTTTTGCAGTCCTTCCTTGCTACCAACCATCTGTTTACACAGCAGTGGGAAGGAAAAGAAAGCGCAGAAGGCAGGTAGGCAAGGGGCCCCATTTCCAGATTTACATATGCTGTCACTTGTGTTAACAGAATATATTTAGCTAAGGAAATTAATGTTTCTTCAGTTATGTTAATTAATTAGTAAGAGTATATTTAGCCAAGGAAACTCTTCAGACTCTGCCATTCTACAAGAGAGAATATACACTTCAAAATGGAACTGAGAAAAAAAAAGACAATATAAAATCTTATAAACTTTACCTTTAAATTTAACATCCTTGTAATTATGTCATTCAATTCATCAGAGTAACGATATGGAATTCTCCTGAATTTGCCTTCTCTGATCTTCCCAGCCAGTTCTTTTTGGTTAAAAGCTGTAAACGGGGGCCTGAGACAGGAAACAGGGGCAGGGGGAGGGGGTGAGGAGGTTGGAAAAGAAGATACAATTAAAACTATGGAGGGGCTGGGAAGGGAGTGCTTGCTTTGCATGCATGAGGCCCTGGGTTCAATTCCTCAGCACCACATAAGCTGAAAAAAGCCAGAAGTGACAGTGTAGCTCAAGTGGTAAAGCACTAACCTTGAGCTGAAGAGCTGAGGGACAGCGCCCAGGCCCAGAGTTCAGACCCTACGACAGGCCAAAAAAAAAAAACCTAATAATGGAAACATACGGTACATAATAGGACCTGGATCAAGATCAAATGCACAGGAGGGGGGACCAAGATGGCGACGGGGCAGTAGGGAAACGCCACAGCTCTCTCCAACCAAAAAGAGAGTTCGAGTTCCAACGTTTAATCTCCCCAAGAGACCGACAACAACAAAAAGACGAACACTCAGAGAAAAACCAGAGGTGGAAAATAACAAAAAAAGAAAGAGAGGAAAAGAAGAATTTCAGAACAGAGAAGAGCGAAGACCCCTCCCCCAACCTTTACTGGCCGCGCGGCAGTGCGCCAAGCCGCCGGCCAGCCGGCCCGGCGGGGGCTGCCGGAGCCCCAGAGACACAGGGGGCTGCTTGCAGATCACCAGGTACCGGATTGCAGAACAGCGGATCGCCAGGAACAGAGAAACCTACCAGCCGGGAGTCTCCACGAGGATCCCACCCCCACCCCTCACTCTCCACCGGAGCGGAGAGGCTCCATCCCGCCAAAGCCGCCCGGCACCAGCAGCGCCACAAAGGGACCTGTCGGCAGAACACCCGCCCAATCGCGATCGCAACTACCCGGCGGGGGCCGCCCAACCCAGCCCGCAACCACCCCAACTGAACTCGGACTGCAACAACAACTGACGACCTACAGGGTGAGTACCCAACAGGGGACAGTGAATCCCTCAAGGGAGACCAGAGCTGGAGGGAATCCCCAGACCCTGACCTAGACTCCCTACCCCAACACCCGGACCACAGGACCCACTAAAACTGGGAACTGTTCGAGAGCTCCACCAGCCGGTGGAGCACACTCTGCTGGCCAGGCCAGAGCAAGAGCGCCCCTGGAAGGGAGCTTAAATGCTCAAGCCAGGAACAGCGCCCCTGGGTCAAGACTACCAACAGTAGAAGAAATTTGAACTGTGTCCTCCAGGCTGCATAACCTAGGTGGTATACACATTAGCACAGGCCTAACGAGCGCGCTCCAGGCTGGGGCCGGAACCAGGCCTGGGGACCGGCACCTGAACAAAGCAAAAAGGGTCAGAAGTGGGGCTGTGACTCAAATGGTAGGGTGCCAGCCTTGAGCTGAAGAGCTGAGGGACAGCACCCAAACCTAGAGTTCAAGCCCACAACCAGCCCAAAACAAACAAACAAAAACACATCAGGAGCCCATAGCAGACTCCAGTATTTGGGAGAGTGCATCCAGAGCATCTGATCTTCCCAAGAGCACCCGCAGGAGCAAACACAAGCAGTCTAGGCTGCTCAACCCTTCCAAAGGCGGGAATTGCTACAGCAGAGAGCTGAGAATCCCAAGTAAGTCAGAATAGCAGCTGGAAATAGGCTCCCAAAAGAATCCAGATCAGGCACAGACTCTCTCTACCAATACAGAATCAGCAACCAAGCAAAGACAGACACACCAAAACAAGATTGAAGAGCAGTCTCCTGAACCCCCATGCGAAAATCACAGAGAAAAATCACAAGGTTTACCACTACCCAGGACAGCAAGCTCACCTCAAAAGCCAGCAGCCACGCAGGGGAGAGCCCCAGTGGGAGCAAAGCAGGAATGGAAGACAAAAACTACATCCAAGGGTTGCTGGAGGCAATGACTCAAGAAATAAAGCGAGAAATGGATCAGAAATTGAGAGAGCACAAGGATGAACTATCAAAAGATATACAGGACATCAAACAAAAGTTGGATGCAAAAATAGAAGCTGCACAAACCTCAGTAAGAAGTGAGATAAACGCCAAATTAGAGGTAATGCATACTGATCTCACCTCATTGAGAGGTGAGATCAGTACTCTGAGAACCAACATTGAATCCATAAAGGGATCCATTTCCACCATGCAAACCACAATAGAAGCCACGGTCAACAGAGTGAATGAAATGGAAGGTAGAGTGTCAGATACAGAAGACAGAATACACCAACTGGACCAAAAAGTGACAGATATGGAAAAATCACTCAAATTAAACCAAAGGGAAATTCAAGAGCAAGCAGATAATGCTAAAAAATTTAACCTTCGCATAATCGGAGTGGACGAAGGTGAGGAATTCCAGAGCAAGGGAATACAACACCTATTTAACAAGATAGTCAATGAAAATTTTCCCCACCTCAAAAACGACCATCTTAACTACATCACAAAAGCTTATCGAACACCCAACAAGCAAGATCCCAGGAGAAACACTTCTAGGCACATTATAGTAACAATGATGGATCTGAATAATAAGGAAACAATCCTGCATGCAGCAAAAATGAAGAAGGAGCTATACTACAACGGGAAAAAAATTAGAATCACTGCAGATCTCTCCACACAAACAATGAATGCAAGAAAAGCCTGGGAAAGCACCATACGAGCCCTGAGAGCCAATAACTGCCAACCCAGACTGATATACCCGGCAAAGCTAGCATTCACATTCGATGGAGAACTGAAAACTTTTAATAGCAAAGAAAAACTAAATGAATACATAAACATTAAGCCAGCATTACAAAGAATTCTAAGAGGGGGGACACAACCTGAAGAAAGCAACCAGGAACTGGGACCTGCCCCAAACAGGCATTACTCAAAGTCTAACTGAGCAAGCCCAGGAGGAAAGGAAAAAAGAAAAACTTAGGAAAACGGAATGGCAGGGACAACAATGCATCTCTCTATACTTTCTCTTAATATAAATGGGCTGAATTCGCCAATTAAAAGAAAACGAACTGAGGACTGGATCAGAAAACAAGACCCATCCATCTGTTGCCTTCAGGAGACCCACCTCTCAGCCAAACATACAAACAAACTCAGAGTGAAGGGGTGGAAAAGGATCTACCAATCAAATGCCCCCAATAAGAAAGCAGGTGTAGCTATCCTGATATCTGACAAAATAAACTTTTCATTAAAATCAGTACAGAAAGACAAGGACGGACACTACATATTAATAAAGGGAACAATCCAAGAGGAGGATATAACCATCATCAACTTATATGCCCCAAATATCGGTGCACCCAGATATGTTAAACAAATGCTCTCAAACTTACAGAATAAAATAGATCCCAATACGATAATACTAGGAGACTTTAACACGCCACTCTCACCAAAGGACAGGTCTACCAACCAGAGGATTGGCAAAGAAGCTACCGAATTAAGTGAGGCCATACTTCAAGCGGAATTAACTGACATCTACCGAGTATTTCACCCTAAAACAACACAGTACATATTCTTCTCAGCAGCTCATGGAACTTTCTCCAAAATAGACCATATCATAGTTCATGCAAGGAACTTAAGCAAATACAAAGGGATCGACATAATCCCCTGTATCCTATCTGACCACAGTGGAATCAAGCTAGCTCTCAATAACAAAGCATACCGCAGAAATTTCTCTAATACATGGAGATTGAACAGCACACTCCTTAACAAGGCCTGGGTAACAGAAGAGATCAGAGAAGAAATAAAGCATTTCCTACAACTCAATGAAAATGAAAACACCTCACAAAGAAACTTGTGGGACACAGCAAAAGCAGTCCTGAGGGGCAAATTTATTGCCCTCAGTGCCCACATCAAGAGAATGGAGACAGACCAAGTAAATAATCTCATGTTGCAACTAAAACAGCTAGAAAAACAAGAAAAAATGGGACCTAAAGCTACTAGACGAAGCCAGATAACCAAATTGAGAGCAGAGATTAACCAATTAGAAAATCAGAAAACCATAACCAAAATAAACCAAACAAAAAGCTGGTTCTTTGAAAAAATAAACAAAATTGATGGCCCGTTGGCAAGATTAATTAAAAAAAGAAGAGAGGAAACCCATATTAATAGGATTAGGGATGCCACGGGAAACATCACAACACGTACCCAAGATATCCAAACAATTCTAACAGACTACTTTCAAAAGCTATACTCTCTAAAGGAAGAAAATCTGGCAGAAATGGATGCATTTTTAGAGAAATACAAGTTACCCACACTGAGCAAAGAAGAAGTTAACCAATTAAATAAGCCAATATCCTATAATGAGATACAGGAAGCTATCAAAAGTCTTCCAACAAAAAAAAGCCCAGGACCAGATGGATTCACAGCAGAATTCTATAAGACCTTTAAAGAAGAACTAATACCCATACTCCTCAAGCTCTTCAGAGAAACAGAGAAGGAGGGAGCTATCCCAAACTCATTCTACAAAGCCAATATCACACTCATCCCCAAACCAGGCAAAGACCCAACCAAAAAGGAGAATTACAGGCCAATTTCCTTGATGAACACAGATGCAAAGATCCTTAACAAGATTCTAGCTAACAGAATCCAGAAACACATAAAAAAAATAATACACTATGATCAGGTAGGCTTCATCCCAGAGACACAGGGATGGTTTAACATACGTAAGTCAATAAATGTAATCCAGCATATCAACAGAGCCAAGGTCAAGAATCACATGATTATCGCCACAGATGCAGAAAAGGCCTTTGATAAAATTCAACATTCATTCATGCTAAAAGCTCTGGAGAAAATAGGAATAGAAGGAACATTTCTAAAAACAATAAAAGCCATTTATGACAGACCAATAGCCAATATTATACTTAATGGGGAAAAGCTACAACCAATCCTCCTAAAAACAGGAACAAGGCAAGGATGTCCACTGTCTCCACTCCTCTTCAACATAGTCCTAGAACCCTTAGCCAGGGCAATAAGGCAAGAAAAAGACATTAAAGGGATCCGCATAGGGAAAGAAGAAGTTAAACTATCCCTTTTTGCAGACGACATGATACTATACCTCCATGATCCCAAAAACTCCATCCCCAAACTTTTAGAAATCATAAGTCACTTCGGCAAAATAGCAGGATACAAAATAAACCCACAAAAATCAGTTGCCTTCCTATACACTGATAATGCACAGGAAGAGAGGGAAATAAAGGGAGCAACCCCATTCACAATAACCTCCCAAAAAATAAAATATTTAGGAATTAACCTAACCAAAGATGTAAAAGAACTATTTAATGAGAACTATAAAAAGTTAAAGAAAGAAATTGCAGAAGACACTAGGAAATGGAAAGACCTCCCATGCTCCTGGATAGGCCGACTTAATATAGTAAAGATGGTGATACTTCCAAAACTAATATACAAATTCAATGCAATTCCTATTAAAATCCCAATGACGTACATCACTGAAATACAGAAAACAGTCCAAAAATTTATATGGAACAACAAAAGACCTAGAATAGCCAAAACAATTCTAGGGGATAAAGACAATATGGGAGGGCTATCCATGCCGAACTTCAAACTCTACTACAGAGCTATAATCACAAAGACAGCATGGTACTGGCACAAAAACAGACCCGAAGACCAATGGAACAGAATAGAAGATCCAGATATAAATCCACAGGCCTACAGCCAGCTGATATTCGACAAAGGAGCCAAAGACATACAATGGAAGAAACACAGCCTCTTCAACCGCTGGTGCTGGGAAAACTGGGCAGCCACATGCAGAAAACTAAAAGTGGACCCCAGCCTATCACCATGCACCAACATCAACTCAAAATGGATTAAAGACCTTAACATTAAACCTGAATCTCTGAAACTACTACAGGACAGAGTAGGAGAGACACTTGAACTAATAGGCACAGGAAGGAACTTCCTGAACAGAGTCCCAGGGTCACAACAAGTTGGAGAGAGACTCGACAAATGGGACTACCTTAAAATAAAAAGCTTCTGCACAGCTAAATCTATCGCAACTAAGCTAGAAAGACAACCAACTAATTGGGAAAAAATATTTACCAGCAATATATCAGACAAGGGGTTAACATCCTGTATACACAGGGAACTCAAGAAACTAATCCCTCCCAAACCTAACAAACCAATTACTAAATGGGAAAGGGAACTAAAGAGGGACTTCTCAAATGAAGAAATAAAAATGGCAAAGAAACACATGAAGAAATGTTCATCATCCCTGGTGGTGAAGGAAATGCAAATAAAGACAACCCTGAGATACCACCTTACCCCAGTCAGAATGTCCCACATCCACAAATCAGCCAACGACAAATGCTGGAGGGGATGTGGAGAAAGAGGAACCCTGTTACACTGCTGGTGGGAATGTACACTTATACAACCACTTTGGAAAGCAGTCTGGAGGGTCCTTAGAAAGCTAAAGATTGACCTCCCTTACAACCCAGTCATACCACTTCTAGGCATCTACCCTGAACAACAGGAACCAATATACAAGGACACGTGCACCTCCATGTTTATTGCAGCACTGTTCGCAATAGCCAGGATATGGAAACAACCTAGATGCCCCACCACAGATGAATGGATCCAAAAATTGTGGTATCTATACACAATGGAATATTATGCAGCCATTAGAAATGACAAAATAATGGCATTTGCAGGGAAATGGATGGAGCTAGAAGGAATCACGTTGAGCGAGGTAAGCCAAGAACGAAGAGACAAACGGTACATGGTCTCCCTGATAAGTGGATGCTAAATCCAAAAGGTTAGGTGATACGATAAAACTAACAGGACTTAAGAAACAAAGAACTCCCGCTCATCTGGTTGAACCACTACTAAATATCCCCATGCTGCTGATCACAAATATGGTATATAACATGTGAACACTGTTATATATTACAGACTGTGGTAGACAATTTGCTCCAGGGAAGTTAGAATGAACTTGTGACTTTGAAATTATGTAATCATTTAATCACAATCAAAAAAAAAAAAAAAAAAAAAAACCTCAGGGAAGGGAGGGAGGGAGGGGATGGTAGGGGGAAAACAATGGAGGGGGTAACAATGTTCAAGAGGAAGTGTACTCATAACCTCACTCATGTAACTGTAACCCTCTGTATAGTATCTTTACAATAAAAAAAAAAAAAAAAGATAACAGGAATCTGCGCCACTGGATAGCTTTGAAATACAAAAAAAAAAAAAGATCAAATGCACAGCTTAAGGACCAATCTGTATTTATGTTTGTACTGGGATTTTCTTTTATAATTAACTTTAGTAGTTCCTTGCCACTATCCATGTTGAGGGTTGAATAAGTTTTATTTGGGGATTGTCCTCTGTATTTTAAGGTATCTTGCAGGATGTGAGGCCTCTAGTCACTAGATGCCAACAGCGCTCTCTAGTGGTGAGGACAAAAAGTGTCTCTAGACAATGCCAAATGTCCCCATGAGAGCAAAATTGCTTTCTCATTCCCAGGAGAAAAATCAATGTTCCACAGAACAGTTCCAAAAGGGAAAAAACTAAAAATAGGGAAGAATTAGATCTGGTCTCCAGATTTCCATACTTTTCCCCTTGATCTTTGTTTCATTTCCTCTCTGCCCTTACAGTAGCTTTATGTTATTACCTGCCTGACCTATGAACTCTCCCCGTGGACTCAGCATCAGTTTAACCGGAAAGCAAACCAGTCAAGTCTCTTAACAAATGAGGACCAGGACTCCTAGGTCACACTTTTCATTTATATATAGTTATTTTTAAAAATCTGTCCTTTTCCTTTAAAAGTTTTATAATTTTTAGACTTGAGTATGTTTTTATTAGCATGGATGCTCAAAAGGCTGAACCACTAAGAAGTGTTGAGCAGTTAGTTGCAAACTTAAAACTGGGCATCAAACCATGTCATACTTACATTAATGCACACAGTTCATACAGCAAACAACCCAATGACCAGATATCTGATTTCTCATTGTAAGACATGCGATTTATTTGTTCCTAGATGAAAAGAAAGGGGAGGGAGTGAAAAGGTAACACTTTATTTTATTTTAAAGCTTAAAATACACCTGAGATCTAGTGCCTGTGCTCACAGCTGTAATCCTAGCTCCTCAGTAGGCTGAGATCTGAGGATAGCAGTTGAAAGCCAGCGCGGGCAGAAAAGTCTGTGAGACTCTTATCTCCAATTAGCCACCAGAAAACCAGAAATGACACTGTGGATCAAAGTGGTAGAGTGCTAGTGCCCAGGCCCTAAGTTCAAAAGAAAAGATTTGCTGGGCACCAGTGGCTCACGCCTATAATCCTAGCTACTCAGGAGGCTGAGATCTGAGGATCACGGTTCAAAGCCAGCCTGGGCAGGAAAGGCCGTGAGACTCTTGTCTCCAATAAATCACCAGAAAACCGGTGCTAGCCTTGAGCTGAAGAGCTGAGGGACCACACCCAGTCTCAGAGTTTAAGCCCCATGACTGAAAAAAAAAAAATTCCAACAAAACTAAAACATGGATCTAGCTCACATTAAGATGGATAGACAAGAGTAATTAATTGAATTACTCATTTGTATGTATATTTTTTTCTTAGTCTATTGTACAACAGTAACATGTTCTCATTACCTGCTTTAATTGTTTGCTTTTCTTTCATGCCCACCCAGGTACTGGTCAACCATAGCTGTCATTACCAACAAGAAGCCCACAGGCAAGCACCAAAATCTCCACAAGGCTGGATGTGAGTCTAGCAGATGCTTGATACCACACTTCTAAACAAGCAATGCCTTAGGGAAACAGCTGGTCTACTGCATGTGCAAAAGGGAAAAGGAACAAAAGAACTGCACACACAGGTTTCAAATTTTCCAAGAACCACTTCTGGATAATTTTCCTGTAGAGAAAAGGTTTGCTACGTGGAACATGATACAGTGAGGAAATGGCCCTGCTGTGGCCATGTCTAATTTATTATTTTATTTATTTTGTTGCCATGTCTAACTTTAGTTACAGAAGAAAATGATTAAGTTTGCAAAATTTTATATTGTAGTCAGATCTGATAGCATAACTTATGAGAATTTGAGCAAAATGCTACCAATGACTACAAATTACTGAAGAAACTCATTATTTGCTCAAATTTCATACACACTGATGCGGTCCCTTATAGATGAAGGCGTTTTGAAAAATCCTCAGACAGTATCGAATGACAGACCCAAATTTTGTTATAGTCTTTGTTACACTTCAAGGAAAGAGAAAAAAAGAAAGAAAGGAAGGAAGGATAGTTCATTCAAGGATATGTACAGCAGAGCTCCTTAGAATATTGTGAAATTTTAGAAACAAAATATCCAGCAAAGGGTAAGTGGGTGAACTCTGTAACACATTCAGGAAAAGGCAAGGGAAAAAAAATGCACAAGAAACCAATTAAAAACACCTAAAGTAGGCTGGGAAGGTGGCTCAGTGGTAGAGTGCTTGCCTTGCATGCCTGAGGCCCTGGGTTCAATCTCAGCACCACATAAGCAAAAAGCCGGAAGTGGCCTTGTGGCTCAAGTGGTAGCACTAGCCTTGAGCTGAAGGGCTGAGGGACAGCACCCAGGCCCAGAGTTCAGGCCCTGCGACCGGACCAAAAAAAAAAAAAACACCTAAAGTGATGAACCTAAGAATCTATCTAAGCCAGGTGCCAGTGGCTCACACCTGTAACCCTAGCTACTCAGGAGGCAAAGATTTGAGCATCACGGTTCAGCCAGCCCAGGCAGGAAAGTCCATGAGACTCTTATCTCCAATTAACCATCAGAAAACTGGAAGTGGTGCTGTGGCTCAAGTGGTAAAGCATTAACCTTGAGCTAAAGAGCTCAGGGACAGCACCCAGGCCCAGAGTTCTAGACCCATGACGTGACCGACAAAAAAAAAAAACAAAAGAATCTATCTAGAGAGTCTGTGGTCTAGGGCTGGGGATGTGGCTTAGTAGTAGAATGCTTGCCTAGCATGCATGAAGCCCTGGATTCGATTCCTCAGTACCACATAAACAGAAAAAGCCAGAAGTACACTGTGACTCAAAGCTCAGGGATAGCACTCAGACCCTGAGTTCAAGCCCCAGGACTGGCGGAGAGGGTGGGGGGGGGGGGAGAGGGGGAGAGAGAGAGACAGGGAGGGAAAGGGCCAGGGGAGGGTGTCTGTGGTCTATTAAAAATACAAGATCTAAAATAAAAGGGTGGGGGAGAATCCAAGCACCTTCCCAGACAGAGAAGGTAATCAACTGCATTTGCCCTTGAGGCCCAGGTTTCTATATGACTAATTCTGGGCTGCTAAAGTTACCTAAATCCCTTGCATTTAAACACTTAGCATTAGGATATTAAAAAGCACGTACATCCTGGAGTACTTACAGGAGACATGTAGTAAGGCGTGCCGACAAACGTTTTTGCAAAACTTGTATCATGATTTAATATCCTCGCTAGCCCAAAGTCTCCAAGCTTGACATTCTGCTTGCCATCCAGGAAGACATTGGCTGGTTTCAGATCCCGATGCAGCACGGTATGGCCGCCATCACTTCGCCGATGACACTCCTTCAGAGCCAGTGTCAACTGAGTCATCACTCGAAGAACAAACTCTTCCTCTAAGTACTGCCTGAAACCAAAGCCATCATATAAATGTAACTTCACAGAAAAACATTACAGATATGGACAAGGTCAATTATTTAAGTGTTTAAAATGCACAAATAGGGAAATAAATTACCTTTTTGTTTGTGTGGGTTTTTATTTTTTGAGGGGGCTGGAACTTAGGGCCTGGGCATTGTCCTTGAGCTTTTTGTGTTCAATACTAGTCCTCTATCTACTTAAGCCATAGCTCCATTTCTGGCTTTCCTGCTCAGACTGGCTTCAGACTATAATCCTCAGATCTCAGCCTCCAGATTAGCTAGGATTACAGGCATTTTTGTATCAGAACTCAGGGCCTCATGCTCTTGCTTAGCTTTATTAGGGGGAGAGGGGAAGAGTAGGGTATTGGGCACTGTCCCTGAGCTTTTGTGCTCAACTCTACCACTTGAGCCACAGCTCCATTTCCAGCTGTTTTGGTGGTTGATTGGAAATAGGAATCTCACAGACTTCTCTGCCTAGGCTGGCTTCAAACTATGATCCTCAAATCTCACGCTCCTGAGTAGCCAGGATAACAGGCATGAGTCATCAGTGCCTAGCTTTAACATTTTGCTCAAGGATGGTACTCTACCACTTGGCCACATCCCCATTCTAATTTTTGCTGGTTAACTAAAAGAATCTTTCAGATTTGTCTACCCAGGATGGCTTGGAACATATATCCTCATATCTCAGCCTCCTAAGTGGCTAGGATTACAGGTGTGAGTCACAGGTGCCCAGCAAATAAATATCTTTGTATAAAATATAGCTTCCAGTTTACCAGTCATTTTCTAAGATTCTGTGGATGAGCCAAAGAAACCCAAGAACATTTCCATATTTATACATACCTTGTCCCTGATCCTAACACAGGATGCTTAACAGTTACAAAATTAGACCCATTTTCAGTCTACATTTAAAAGACTGCATTTACCTTTCCTTGGTTCCTTTAGTGATCACACTTGCCAGGTCCCCTCCTTCGCAATATTCCATTACAATGTACAGTGTTGTGTTGGTTCGGTCAATAATTCGATCATAGTATCGAACAATGTTTGGATGTTTCAGTTCACGAAGCAAATTCACTTCAGAAACAAGCATCTGTTTCTCGGCTTCTGTCATGGAGCCATAATCAAGCTCTTTCCAGACTAGTATCTGAAAAGAAGAAAATTTCCAAGTTATAAGAACTTACTATGCTCAGAAACAAAAACTGAAATAGATAGATGGTCCAAAATTGCACAAATGGCCTCCCTTTTAAACAAATCCTCCAATCCAAAGTCATGATCATGTAATTCAGTTCAATAAACTGTAAGTCCTGACTTTACTTGCCTTAATCTTTCTCTAATCTTTTTTTTTTTTTTGGCCTGGTTGTGGAGCCTGAACTCTGGGCCTGAGCACTGTCCCTCAGCTCTTCAGCTCAAGGCTAGCGCTCTACCACTTGAGCCACAGCGCCACTTCCGGCTTTTTTCTTTTGCTTATGTGGTGCTGAGGAATCGAACCCAGAGCCTCATGCATGCAAAGGCAAGTGCTCTACCACTGAGCCACCTTCCTAGCCCTCTTTCTCTAATCTTTAAGCAGTAAATGTTCTGGGCAGAGAGGTGCATGATATATTAAGGTTCTCCAAATCTCTATTCTCAATTCTTAGTGGGAAACAGGCCAGTGGTATTTTGGTCAAAGCTAGTATTGAGGAGGTCAGAGTCCCCTAGCTGTCTATTCCAAACCGCTAGTGCCTTCCGAGAACCTTAGTAAAGATCCAGCCGCGGCTAGGCAGCTACCTCTCTAATGTTGCTTTCTGAACAAGATCTATGCTCACTGGGAATCCAATTTCAAACTAATAAGAGATTTGTGTGGATTGTGATTGCAGATGCAAAGCTTGAGGATATGGTGGCCTGCCCCTGGTCCTCTCTGAGCTGTCTGCCATCATTGGAAGATATTAAGGAAGTCAAAGCAGGAACGAGAAAATATGAAAAGAACTCATCAATATCTGTATCCGAGGACACGACCCAGGCTCCGCCCAGGCTGCGGGACGCAGATGCAGGGGCGAGGCTGAGACTTCCGGGCCGGGAGCCCCCGACCCCCACCCCGGGGGGCGCAGGGGCGGGGACTGGGCCAGAGCCCGCGCCCACCTTGCCGTCGCTCTTCCTCCGGATCTTCTGGCAGCGGCCGTAGGAACCGGTGCCGATGGTGTAGAGCACTTCATAGTCCTCCACCCGCGACGGCATGGCTTCCCGCCGCCGGCTTCCTGAGGTCACTTGCAAGCCGCACCGTCCCGAACCCCGGCCCGGGCCCAGTTTAACCGTCGCGGGCCCCGGCCTTGCCATCTATTGGCCGAGGGTGAGGCCGACACGCTTCTCTGATTGGCTAAGAAAAGAACACAGCACCCTAGGCATCCTGGGAATAGCGTGTCGCTAGGCAACCGCGTCGGGTCGGCGCCTGCTTCCGACCTCTGGGGAGAGGAGGGCGGAGCCAAAGCCAAGGCTGGTGGGGGCGGGGTAAGAAAGCCCAGGGGTGGGGGGGGGGGTTGTGTTTGGGGTTTGGGGGCGGGAGGGGGGGGAGAGTGAGGAGGAGGAGGGGTTCCAGTTCTAACCCTAAGCTGAGGTCACCAAGGTAACAAGTCCGTGGGTCTCAGACTCTTCTGCCCACCGCTTCAAAACCAACTGCCCTCTGACCTTTCCACTTTGACCTTAAGATAATCACACCCCTCTGCACCACGAGTCTCTCTCCCCTTCTCTAGCTTCCTCCTCTCCTCGCTCCCTCGCCTCTTCGTTTTCCTCTCTTCTCCTCCATCTCCTCTCTCCCTCTCTCCCTCTCTCCCTCCCTCCCTCCTGTCTCCCTCCCTCTCTCCCTCCTGTCCCCCTCTCTCTCCCTCCCCTCTCTTTCCGGTGGTGACTTCCTGCGCAGCCTAGGCTGTGTTATGCGCTTTATTTCCATCCACACAAACCTGTAAAAGCAGGAAGTAATGGTATTTATTTTTTTATTTTTTTGTCTGTTGTGGGGCCTGAACTCTGGGCCTGGGCACTGTCCCTCAGCTCTTCAGCTCAAGGCTAGCGCTCTACCACTTGAGCCACAGCGCCACTTCTGGCTTTTTTCTTTTTGCTTATGTGGTGCTGAGGAATCGAACCCAGGGCCTCAGGCATGCAAGGCAAGCGCTCTACCACTGAGCCACCTTCCCAGCCCCAGTAATGGTATTTTTATTTTTCAAGGAAAAAACAGAAGCACGCGCTTGTTTGGGGTCCAACAGCCAAAAGCGGAGACTTAGTGTCAAAAACAGTTATTCATGGGAATTATTTAAAACCTGACTTGTAGATAATGAACACCACATGCGGGTACCTGGTCGACTTCCAGAAAGGTGTAAAATCCTCATGGAGGAATAAGGAAAGGCCCTGATGTTTCCGAATATACAAGAGAATATGGTAGTCCTAAAACAGAAATGAGTTTTACCTTCAAGACTTCTATAAAACAACATCACTAGAAAACACTACCAGACACCTAGGGTGCCCAACACATAATTAGTTGGCAGTACTTCATGAATTGTAGCTTCCATGGAAACCAACTCACCTAGCTAAATGGAACAGTTTTATTTTTACCTGGGAGAGAAGTCCTAGAGCTCTCCAACCAGAGCTTGTTAAAGTATAATGTGTATTGCCAGAGAGTGAATAATTTGGTAATGCCATAAGTAGGTCAGTTTTCTTTAAATATCTATTCAGTGTGGGATTAAAAGGAACCTGATGTTCTATTAATAAGAACTACAAACCTATTATGTTGAAAATAACGTATTTTATGCACTGAGTATAGCATAATTGGAATTTCCAACCAGGGGAATTTTTAAATTAATAATCAAGGGCATCGTCTTCCCTCAAAGGAATAAGACCAGTTTGGGTTTCACAAGTTATGTAAAGGGCTACAAGTGGAGGAAGTCATTTGCATTCCTTCTTTTTCCTTCTTTCTTTCCTTTATTTTTTCTGTGTGTGTGTGTGTGTGTGTGTGTGTGTGTGTGTGTGTGCGTGCATGCATGCATGTGTGTGTGCTTCTTACAATTAGAATTCATGGAATTCTTTGGCTAGCCTGCACTAAATCTAGTCTTGAGCCTTCACTGTCTGCTTTCCTGCTGTGTGTGTCTGTGTGTGTGTGCACATACATATGTGCCAGTACTAGGGCTTGAACTGAACTCAGGGCATGGTAGTTTTGCTTGGCATTTTTGCTCATGGTTGGTGCTCTACCACTTGAGCCACGCCTTTTTACTGGTTAATTGGAAATAAAAACCTCATGGACTTTTCTGCCTGGGCTGGCTTTGCTTGTACAGTGATCCTCAGATCTCAGCCTCCTGAGCAGCTAAGATTAACAAATGTGTGCCACCAGCAACTGGCCAGTGTTCTATTCTTACTCTGCCCAAACCCAGAACACTTTTTCAGCTTCTCTTCACCCCCATGACCTCTGCTTCTGTCATCTGATTTGTCGGGAATTCCATTTGTCCTCCCTCCACTCCGCTCCCCCTAGTCATCTCTGTCCAGAGGTTACAATTTGCCTGGAAAAAGCCCACTCCAACTTTGTTATCTCTACTCTGAGGAGCTTAACATACTCAGACAGTAAATTCCTCTCTCCACAGTGTTCTCTGGTGATGATGTACATGAGTTAACACACTTGTTTATCAATGGTTTCACAGTAGTCAAACTCCAAGTGTCTTGCAGCTAACATAAATCCTGGAATAGGGAGGCATGCAAAAAAGCATTGTTAAATGAAAGAAGGTCATTTACTTATGCAAGGATTTGGAGTGAACCCTGAAGTACTCCATTTTCAAATGCCCCCAGTTCTGTGGCAGAGATTATCTGGGAAAGAGCCAACTCAACAAATGTTTACTGAGTGCTTACTGTGAACGTTGTATCAGTAGTGTGTGTGTGTGTGTGTGTGTGTGTGTGTGTGTGTGTGGTTACTGGAGCTTTAACTCAGGGCCTTGAGCTCTTTCTTAGTTTTTGCACTCAAGGCTGGGCTCTATCACTTGAACCACACTTTCAGCTTTTTACAGATTCATTGGAAATAAGAGTCTCACAGATTTTTCTACCTAGACTGGCTTCAAACCATAATCCTGAGAAGCTAGGATCACAGGAGTGAGCCACTAGCACCTAACTTTAACCATCTATTCAAGATTCAGCTTATGTTGGAGCAACAGTGGCTCATTCCTGTAATCCTAGCAGTTTGGGAAGCTAAGATCAGGAAGACTGAGGTTCAAGGCCAGCCAGGGCAGAAAAGTTTACAAGATTTCCTGCAGTGGCTTGCATCTGTCTTCTCAGTAAGGTTAAAGTAAATGGATCGAGACTCTGAAACTTACAGCCCAGGTTAGAAGTGAGAACCTATCTCAAAATAACCAGCAAAAGCCAGCCCCAGTAGCTTATGCTAGTAACACTTACTACTCAAGAGACTGAAAGCTGGAATCTTGGGGAATATCTCAGAAGAAAAGTTTGTGAGACTCTCTCTCCAGAATAACCAAATAAAAATCAGGGCTGGAGGCATAGCTGAAACTGTAGCGTGCCAACTGAGCACGCACAAGACCCATAGTTCAAATTCTAGTACCACATACACAAAAAACACTTTGTGCTCAGTTTCCTCCCTGATTAACTGCAATCCTCTGTAACCTCCTAATTCCTTCCAAGAGTAAGTGACTATGCTGTATACCTCTCATGTGTATCCATTCTATCTGTCCTATGAATTAAAAACCTCAGCTTCAGCGAGTATAAACCAAGACCCTGCCAAGTATTCATCTGCCAAAGATACTTAAGGAGAACAGATAAATAGTCCTGGAAGTGAAGAAGAAGATGTAACAATGTAACATAGACAGAGACACACATTATGAATTGAGCTGCTGATTTAAAAAGTTGAGATGGTTACAGTTCAGCAGAGAGCTGACTTTTTCCATGTATGTCATCAACCCTGAAACCGCTCTGTAACTGATCTCCCTGCACCAACTGTCAGACTCACTTTCCCTACACTTTGCTGGCCATATTCGCTGTGATTGTCAAATTCCATTCACATCTGGTGAAATAAGATATTATCTGCACTATATATTCTCTGTTCACAAGGGCTCTACCTAGAAAAGCATCACAAACTTCGCAGGTCCAAAATCAAGCTTGTGATTTTTTTTTTTTTTTGCCCCAAATTTGTTCAGATCTCTGTTTTAAATAACTGATGCAGATAGGCATTTGTGACTGTTTTATTCACTTAAGGATCTCCAGCACCTAAAACATAGCAGGGACTCAATTGAACATTTATCCCTTTAATGAAGGAATGATGGAAGCCATACCTCCTTGCTCCCTTTTTATGTTGTTTCTCACGACTGAGTTTCCTTACAGCTATATGAAAGGCCCACTAGAGGGCTGTACATCACTGCATGATGAGTTGAGGAGGCGGCATCGGCTCTGAGCTGCCTGTAGACACCTGTCCTTACAGGAAACCACAACATTTATTTAGTTGAATATTTATAATCAGATGTTGTGTAAATTTCATCTCCACAATTACTTGCTCAGGGCAGTTTGAAGCTAGGGATTATGGAAATTCTTTAAAGTGATTCAAAAAGATTTTTAGATGCTGCACACACGGGGGGGAATGGGGGAGTGGGGTGGGGTGTTGCATTCCTGTAATCTTAGCACTCAGGATTAGTCAAGAAGATTGGGAGTTTGAGGCCAACCTGAGCTACAGAGGGAGACTATCTGGAAAAAAATTTAAAAGTAGAAGGCAGAGGGTCGTAGATTTGGCTCAAGTGGTAGATTATCTGTCTTGCAAATGTGAGGTCCTGAGTTCAAATTCCAGTATCACTGAAAATGTAAAACAAGAGATTCTTTGTTGATACCAGTAAATTAACAAGTATTTTTTGTAGGAAGTGTTTAACATTTTTACTTTAACATGCTTAGCTGAGGGAAAAATGGGAGTTGGTCTTATGCTGTTTTATCTAATTTGAAAAAGATAATTACAATGGCTGTAGTGTATCATATACTTACTCATCATACATAGATCACTTCTGTCTGTGGGTGGGTTGTTTTGAATACTAGGGTTTGAACTCAGCGCTTCATGCTTGTTAGGCAGGCACTTTACCACTTGAACCACATACCTAGCCCTTATCCTTGGCTATCTTTTTCTCCTATTTGTGAAAGTAGGGCAGAGATTTGTTCATCTGAACTCCTAATTATGTCCTTAAGATGCTTGGTATGCTAGGCACCAGTGGCTCATGCCTATAATCCTAGCAACTTAGGAGGCTGAGATTTGAGAATTGTGGTTTGAAGCCAGCCTGGGCAGGAAAGTCCGTAAGA